AGTGTGTCAACGTTCCCAGACAGTGTGTCAACGTGCGCTGTGGAACTTTGCTCGTGTTACTGACGACTGTTTTGCCTCGCTCACGCTCGTGTTACAGGTAGAATATATGTGACTAAAACAGTCACTCACACACTCGCTGTGTTTTTGCTAAACTGACAGCCAAAAGAAATTGTACCACCTTAAAATGAAATCGCAGAAAAATATCAACACAAGCTCAAACTAAATCAATGTTAAAAACATCGTGCAAACACAACAATGTCCACGCAGAAAGAGTAGAAAATACGAAAAAGTGACAAACCGAAGCTTCACGTGCAGTAAGGGTATATTTATGATACGGACGGCGTGTCAGACACTCACACTGATAAGAAAAAAATCATCGCAGAAATACCACGACTGATACCCGAACTACACGAGCGGGCATTGGGTATGATACAGATGGGAGTCGCCCATACCCGCATGTCAGAACTTTCGGTTGTTCTTGTGTTGCTGTGCTAACATGATACAACGTTACAGACAGACTGCGCCCAATGAAGACCGGTACTTGCGTACTTTGCATCTCCGGAATCGACACCTTGGTGACATCATCAGCGCCCTAGGGCGTATGGTTAGTCAATAGACAGTGTCAAGGCGCCCCGTGGCTCAAGGAATTAGGGGTTTCAGACCTAACAGAGGACAGGTATTGATAGAGTAACGTCATCGTCTGAGATTGAGATGGGCCCGGACTGTACATCGTTAACAGCGATGTGACTGAAAGAGGGTCGTCTTCACTGATGAAAGCAGGTTCTGTCTGTTCAGAGCTGATTGTTTTCAGCGTGTGTGTGTGTGTGTGTGTGTGTGTGTGTGCGTGCGCGTTTGTGCGTGTGTGCGTGTGTGCGTGTGTGCGTGTGCATGTGCGTGTTTGGTGTGGGGAGCGATTTGGGGAGGAGCTTGAAAGAACACAACTGGTCACCATTAACGGAAACTTGACAGCACGGTGTTACATGAATGACATTCTTCGTCCGATTGTCCTACCATTTCTACCACAGCTGCTACGTGGTGTTCAATATTACCATGACAACGCCATCCCCCTTCCTTGCAGCCACCAACGTCAACCTGCTACCTTGGCCTGCACGCTCCCCAGACATATCCCCCATAGAACACCTCTGGGACATCGTGGACCGTCGTGTTCGACAGCGACTACATAATCGTCAAGCCGACCGACAAGAAGAATGGCGACGTATCCCTCGTGACGTCATCAGATGACTGACATTTCAGTGCGCCGGAAAGTGTTCGTGTGTCTTGTCTCAGGGGGTGGTCATACACGATACTGACGTGTCTTTGATCTTGAGCGATTTTTAGAAGTGTTTCCCTTTTACAATTACGTTAAAAGCTTGTTTTTGCTACCCCAACTCAATTCGTGCAACTGTCATGCCAATGTCAGATGCTGTATGACATTTTCAATGTTGATTTCGTTGAGATTTTTATCTTTTCTATATATTTTACTTCATGAATCTATATTTTGTGGTTTTTAAACTAATGTGATCGTAAACCGTTACAGTTTCTTTTGACCATCAGTTGATCAACATCATATACCGTATAGCAAGGAGGAGGTGGGGTAGGAATGAGTGAATGGATGAGAGAGTACCAGTTTTGCTCCTCTTTGAACAGAATTTGATGTGTAAGGAAAGCCAAAAGTGATGGAGGTCTTAGACATTTGTTGTATGTTATGTAACGCCCTACCTGGGAATGTTCCAGCAATATAACGGCAGTCTGTAAATATCTGAATCAAGAACAGAAAATCCAGTGTTCGGCATCATGAGCCCACTTGGAATACGATCCATGTTTTCACCAGCAATGTAGCACTACCACACCGACACCCAAACACACTCACACACCCACACACACTCACACAAACCACTCCGTCACCCACACCCATTCCGTTCCTCCACGCCCACTCTCACGCCGAAACCACTCCAACGCCCGCGCCCACTCCCACACCCAGTCTCACGCCGAAACCACACCCACACCCACACGTACCCCTACTCTCACACCCACTCCGTCACCCACACCTACTCACAAACCCACTACGTCACCTACACCGCACCCACTCCTACACCCACTCCGTCACATACACCAACACCCACCCCTACTCCCACACCCACGCCAACGCCCACGCTCACTCCCACGACGAAACCACTCCCACGCCCGCGCCCACCCTCACATCCACTCTCTCGCCGAAACCACACCCACACCCATCCCTACTCTCACACCCACTCCGTCACCTACACCAACATCCACCCCTACTCTCACACCCACTCCGTCACCTACACCAACATCCACCCCTACTCTCACACCCACTCCGTCACCCACACCTACTACCACACCCACTACGCCATCCTCAACCACTCCGTCACCCACTGCCCATCCCACTCCCCGACCACTCTCACGCCCAAACCACTCCCACGACAACGCCCACGCTCACTCCCAAGACAAAACCACTCCCACGCCCGCGCCAACTCTCACACCCACTCTCCCGCCGAAACCACACCCACACCCACCCCTACTCTCACACCCACTCCGTCACCTACACCAACACCCACCCCTACTCCCACACCCACTCTCACGCCCAAACCACTCCCACGCCAACGCCCACGCTCACTCCCACGACGAAACCACTCCCACGCACGCGCCCACTCCCACACCCACGACAACGCCCAAACCACTCCCACGACAACGCCCACGCTCACTCCCAAGACAAAACCACTCCCACGCCCGCGCCCACTCTCACACCCGCTCTCCCGCCGAAACCACACCCACACCCACCCCTACTCTCACACCCACTCCGTCACCTACACCAACATCCACCCCTACTCTCACACCCACTCCGTCACCTACACCTACTACCACACCCACTACGCCATCCTCAACCACTCCGTCACCCACTGCCCATCCCACTCCCACACCCACTCTCACGCCCAAACCACACCCACACCCACCCCTACTCTCACACCCACTCCCTCACCTACACCAACACCCACCCCTACTCTCACACCCACTCCGTCACCTACACCAACACCCACCCCTACTCTCACACCCACTCCGTCACCTACACCAACACCCACCCCTACTCTCACACCCACTCCGTCACCCACACCTACTCCCACACCCACTACGCCATCCTCAACCACTCCGTCACCCACCGCCCCACCCACTCCCACACCCACTCTCACGCCCAAACCACTCCCACGCCAACGCCCACGCTCGCTCCCACGCTCACTCTCACGCCGAAAACACTCGCACGCCCTCGCCCACGCCCTCGCCAACGCCCACATTATCAATAACAATCTTTATGATCATTAATAACATAAAAAAATCCATCGTACACATTAACACGTTTATTTATACAATACGATTACCAGAGCACTACAATGATTGAATTCTAATAGCACTTCATCTTTAGAAACAAAAAACAACTATGACACCTCACAGTGTTACACCAGTAACATGAAACAAATATTCAAGACATCTTATACAAAAATAGGGGATTTGACACACAAGCGATATATCACTGTTTTCATTCACGTCGAACAGATCTAGATGGCTTATCATTAATCGAAGTCGGGTTTAACCAAGAAAGTTGACGTGACCTCTCGATTCATTCCGGGAAAAACCGAATCGTCTTGCAGGTTACGGAAAGTAGCGAGTGCTGACGGACGCTTCAACGCACAAGACCTGCAGTGGATGTCGTTGTTCCTATGGATATTGAGGTTCGGATAAAACTAACTACATTTAACACACGGGTTCGATATATCCGGAATTATGTAGATGGCACATCATTGCTATACCCGAAAATCATATATATCATCATGATCATAATCACTATGAGCCTTAATAATTTCCTGCGATTTTAGCAATATTAAAGCAATATCACGGCGGGGGACACCAGAAATGGGCTTCACACATTGTACCCATGTCGGGAATCGAACCCGGGTTCTCGGCGTGACGAGCGAACGCTTTAACCACTAGGCTACCCGACCGACCCTCCTGCGATGTATGCCCTGATAAGAATAATACTCCCTTCTGAAGAATAATCTGAATATATATTTCCTTCCGGAAAAACCCCAAAATATCTTTCGGCCGGTGTAAAAATTTTTTTATTTCCTTTGACGTTCGTTTTATCACACGTGAGGAGCTTGTGTCGATATATTTTGTAATAATAACTTTTAGAAAAAACGAATTTCGCACAAAAATAAAAATATATCATCAGGATTTCTCTCGTTTGCATATCATAAATACACACGCCTCGGTTGCCGTTCACAATACATTACTTCCACGTTCACAGCGCACGACGATTTCGTTGTTGTTTCTCCCTGGGGAGGCAATTTTGTTAATACACAGGGACATTTAAGTCATCGCCAAATCAAACAACTATTTAAAAATTTAATTTGTCGAAGAAAACAATCACTTTGTATAGTCTCAGTGAACTAACGATGGAACATTGGGAGTCAGTGAAACACTGGGGTCGTGAACAGATTCAACATATCAAAAGGCGAGCACGATCCTATTAAGATGCCTTACTCTCTGTGTGTAATCTGCAAATTCAGTGTATATGAAACAATAGTAGCTGGACGGCAAACAATTCAAAGACAAAAGGCGTCGTATAATTTGATCATCATCATCATCATCATCATCATCATCATCATCATCATCATCATCTTCTTCTTCTTCATCATCATCATCATCATCATCATCATCATCATCATCTTCTTCATCATCATCATCATCATCATCATCATCATCATCATCTTCTTCTTCTTCTTCATCATCATCTTCATCTTCATCATCATCATCATCATCATCATCATCTTCTTCATCATCATCTTCTTCTTCTTCTTCTTCATCATCTTCATCATCATCATCATCATCATCATCATCATCATCATCATCTTCTTCATCATCATCTTCATCATCATCATCATCATCATCTTCTTCTTCATCTTCATCATCATCATCATCATCGTCGTCGTCGTCATCGTCATCGTCGTCATCGTCATCATCATCATCATCATCGTCATCGTCATCGTCGTCCTCGTCGTCATCGAGTCAAAAATTAAAGTGCTTCGTTAAACAAATAAATATCTTCATCATTCAATCAGCTGCAAAATCATCACGCCGCTTGCAGGACTACATTGTTTGGCGCATTAATCCACTGTTTTCTCTCCTGATACAGTTCCACGTGCATGTAACAAAACAGTTAGGAAGGCTCAGAGAACGGGCACGTTCATGTGTAAAACATACATTCTGACGTAACTCTCTGCTGCGATGTAAATAACATTGAAAACCTTCTTTTGCACGCGTGTCTGCTTACAAATAGTGCAATCAATCACATGATATACAAATTAGCCAGTGCCTTGGCGATATGAGATCGATAATATGACCTCACAGTTTCGCAATCGGCGATCATAACCAACATCGTTCTGGCAATTGGCAAATCATATTGCATGTTGGTCACGGAAAGATGCGAATCGTGGCGAATGTGATTTGTGGTCGCTATTTAACAGCATAGTCTATGTTCAACTCGGGTTCTGTGAATTCATTAAGCACTACTGACATCCCGATGACGTCACAGATGACGACGTCACACACTCAGTGACGTCAATATCGCAACAGGAGCTGTTGTCGGAGTCGGGAGACAGCTGCTCGGTGCTGATGGAGACGGTGTGAGAGGCCGCCTCCTCCAGCTCTGGACAAGTCTTCTTGGGGCGTCCTTTTGGCTTCGTCGGCGGTTCGGCTCCACCTTTCTGCAGAACCTGCAACATCACAAGGAATGGTTTAGTGGGGTTAACGTTCTTCTAGAAATATTCATTTAAGTAGGGGGATGTAGTTCTGTAGTTACTGAAGGTCAACATTCTGTAATTCTTGGTTTGAAAAACAAGGGGTGACATGAAATGGGGTTTAACGTTTCAAGATCATTACTCTTATATACCGACATACATGCACGTGTGTTTAAGTGGCAAGTGGCTGCTTGTACTAGTCTGAACATACAGTAAACTACGGTTATAACGAACACGCTTATATACGAACTGACCGATATAACGAACTTATTTTTAGTCCCGGCCATTTGTTGTACATATGCTGTATATATGCTTAAAACGAACTACGGTTATAACGAACTAAAATTAGTGGTCCCTTTGAGTTCGTTATAACCGTGGTTTACTGTATGTCTGTTTAATAGGTGAGATGAAGTAAGGTGAGACGGGGTTTGATGTGGCGTTTACGTTTATTGCACGTGTGTGTGTGTGTGTGTGTGTGCGTGCGTGCGTGCGTGCGTGCGTGCGTGTGTGTGTGTGTATGTGTGTGTTTGTATTAGTCCGGACTAATGTTGGTTTTATAGTGCTAGCCCACCGAGATACCCTGCCGCAGTTTAACATGAATACCCCTCTCAGACACATGACACTCACTCTGAGCTGACCAGTCCTTGTTCTAGCCCCTCAATGTCGAGCGCCAGGCAGGGAAACAACAAGTACCACCTTCTAGTTATCTACAGTAAACTACGGTTATAACGAACACGCTTATAACGAACTGACGGATATAACGAACTTAATTTTTAGTCCCGACTATTTGCTGTAGTTATGCTGTATATATGCTTATAACGAACTACGGTTATAACGAACTAAAAATAGTAGTCCCTTTGAGTTCGTTATAACCGTAGTTTACTGTATTTGGGTATGACGCGGAATCGAACCACCTACCTTCTCCTCTCCGCTTTGTAAAATAGATACACAGACCTTGAAATATGAACGAAAACATTATTGTCTAACAACTAACTTTCCATATTTAGAAATTTACATAATGATTCAGATTTTAGTCTTTAACTTGACAGACGCATAGTGCACTTTTGACATTCAGCGCACACGCCGTCCTCCGACTGAAAGACTGTCCAAAGTGGCGTTAAACTCAACTCACGCACTACCATGCAAGGAGAAACAAATGGCACAGTCGCCAAAAACAAAGACGCCGCAATTCTATTCACAATATGAGTCCCATAGGCGATCAGAATCCAGCGATCATGGGTTCGAATCCCGGTTCGCCCCGATTATGTTTCTAGGTTTGTCAGCACCATACCCGTGCTCGTGGGTTTCACCGAACTGGTAAACGTCTGATACCTGCATCACTTCGGGCTTTCCTCCCACATTAGGCTGACACGCCCCGATATAACTGTAATACTGTTAAAAGCGGCGTTAAATCCAACTCACTCACTCACTCACTCAAAGCAGCTTTAAACCAAAAACCTCTATAACTTATAGACTCAGAACCATCAGAACCAGCATCCACAACTACATCTGCCCTATCGTCACTCACCATCTTCTTCCACTTCATCCGCCTGTTCTGGTACCAAGTCTTCACCTGGATCTGGGTCAGACCAAGACTCTCGGCCAGTTCAATCCGGTCAGGGGTAGACAGATATTTCTGCGTCTCGAACTTCTTCTCCAACCCCATCAGCTGGAGCTCGGTGAAAACCGTCCGACTTCGGCGGCACTTCTTCGACTTGCCGAGGAGATCCGATCCCGAAGGCGATCTGGTCCGAATGTAAACCGGAAGTGGGATTGGAACGGAGAACTTTTCTCGTTCTAAGAGCTGATCCATAGGACAGCAAGCTGTTTGAAAGAGAAACAAGGCAATAATTATTCATTTGTTTGGGTTTGGGGCAGGTGCCACTGATGGAGCAGAATATGCGCACCTTTTGGCGAACACCTCGCGTCATCACTATTTGGAAGTGATTCATGCGAATTATATAAACTACGGTTATAACGAACTCAAGGGGGCACGGGTGGCCCAGTCGTCTAAGGCGCCGCGATTCGCTGTGCAGAGTTGCGTCCCTTGGACGCGCCAAAAACCTGTGATTGTGGGTTCGAATCCCGGTTCGCCCCGATTATGTTTCTAGGTTTGTCAGCGCCATACCCGTGCTCGTGGGTTTCACCGAAGTGGTAAACGTCTGAGACCTGCATCACTTCGGGCTTTCCTCCCACATTAAGCTGACACGTCGTGATATTACTGGAATACTGCGGCGTAAAACCCAACTCACTCACTATAACGATCTCAAACTAACTAACTTTAGTTTGTTATAACCGTAGTTCGTTATAAGCATATATACAGCATAACTATAGCAAATAGTCGGGACAAAAAATCAGTTCGTTATATCCGTCAGTTCGTTATAAGCGTGTTCGTTATAAACGTACTTTACTATAATTGGAATCAAACAATGTAGTCTAGTTTTAGTGGAAATTTCTTATGATTATGGAAATGATTTTGTCGCTATAATTTGTAATAATCAATATGCGCTTTTTTCTTCTAAAACCTGTTGAACCGAATCTAAATTTTAAACAAGTGGAATACAATTTAAATCTTGAGAACTGTTTTTTTTTCTTATTGTTGAATGTATAACTTTACTTCAGAAATGAAAAAACCCTTTTTTTTATGTCAAATTATAAGTGAAAATGTATATTAGTTCCATTTATCACATAATCTCTTTCTACGAAAACCCAACTAAAAGCACCACGAGATCAAACTAGTGTTTGAAATACTAGCAGCTGACTGTTCGCCATATTCCAGGTGGATCACTAACTAACACTAACTAATTGTCTGTCCTGCTCTGTGTGACTGATAATACATGTGGATGTAGAGTAGGTAATTCCTTCATCATGCTTGCTTTGTTTGTTTGTTTGTTATTTAACGCACACTCAGCAATATTCCAGCTATAATCACATATTAAACTGTATCGTTTAACAAATAAATATATTCATATGTGCACTGATCCACTGTTTACTAGGGGCCTGAAGTTAGCAGCGGGTTCGTTATTCGTTATTCGTTATTCGTTTTTCGAATAACGGAAAACAAGCCAGCACCGGGTTCGTTATTCAAAGGCTGTATATTAAACTACAGTAATGTGGTCAAATACACTGAAACTCATTTAATATATGACAGCAGATTCGTCTTACATCGTCCAAAAGCTGTTTAGTTATTCAGTACTTTTGAATAACGAAAAACAAACCAGTACCGGGTTCGTTATTCAGTTCATGTCCAACAAATATATATATAAATGGTATAAAGAATCTGCTACTGTTTTTATTTATGTACTTATTCACAATAAAGACTTAAATTGTGGGAAAACCTTAGCAGAAGTAGCCCTCATTAAATATTGACTGTATTTTAGGAATAACGAACCCGCTGCTAACTTCAGGCCCCTCTGTATACTCCCATGATACGGTTCCAAGTGCATGTTTTGTTTGTTTCCTTGTTTGTTTGTTATTTAACGACACAGCAGTATTCAAGCAATATCACGTCGATCTGTAAATAAGTGAGTCTGGACAAGACAATCCAATGACTGATATTGTGAGCAACGATCCACACAATTGGGATAAGATCCATTTAGTTGCCCCCCCCCCCCACGACCAGGATTAATTACTGATGACAAATGCTATCCTAGTGTGGTGAATACCACGGGCACTGATAGGAACACGGAACAATTGTCAGTCACTGATTATTTTAAGAGGCTATTACATAGCTTGAATATTTCTGATTGCGGCGGAAAACAATCATTACATAACCAGTTGCATATTTTTGCAAGACCGCTTTGTGTACAAAGATTTATAGAAACGGCGTGATGAATGTGTTTATACGTCAATACCATAAGTGAGTTGGTCGGACAGACGGACGGGATTTAATTCCAAATACTCCAGTACTTAGAATACAGTGAGTGAGTGAGTGAGTGAGTGAGTGAGTGGGTGGGTGGGTTGGTGGGTTGGTGGGTGGGTGGGTGGGTGGGTGGTTGAGTGGGTGAGCGAGTGAGTGGGTGGATGGGTGGATGGGTGTGTGGGTGTGTGAATGAGTGAGTGAGTGAGTAAGTGAGTTGGGTTTGAGCTGCATAAGTGAGTAAGTGAGTGAGTGGCTTGATGGGTGGGCGAGTGAGTGAGTGAGTGAGTGAGTGAGTGAGTTGGGTTTCGAGCTGCATAAAGGTATGGGACAGCAGAAACGGGCTTCACAAATTGTACACATGAATCGATTTGAACCCAGACTTTTGACGTGACGAGAGAACGCTTGTTACAGTACCCTACACTACCGCTCCCATGAATAATGGAACCCCATTAGTCCAACCAAACTGTTGCTTTTTCAAACTTTTGTACATAAATAAAATGGGTATCACCACGTCCCCATTGCTTCATTAATCCGGACACAAGCTGATCCATACTTATTCACTGTGCTTTCGTCCGGATAAACAAGGCTGCGCTGTACTTGTCACGGGGGATAAGATTCGGTTAATCTAAACTATTTGCTATGGCTCAAAACAAATCATACGTCAAAGTTATAACATACGCATGGTTCTAATGTCTTCATCAAATTTCTTACCACAAGAGTGTACAATTTCATGGCAAGACATGCGTTCAATGATTTCTTTAATTGCATCCTTCACGCCTCGCCCGCAATATCAGCACCCTGCGTCTCTCCGCCGTATTACCACGTGTTAATCAAAACAGACTCACACCTCACAGATAACGGGAAGCCAGTCAAACTGCTTTTATTCGGTGGTGGTCGTGAAACTCGATTCCAAATTAATAATCTTTCATAAATAGCATGGCACTTGTCATTTCTCGAGCTTCGCGGGTGGCCTGGAAACCTCTCCTCGCAAACCACTCGGCCCACTTCTCCGTACCACGTGTAATTATAATTCGATAAATAATTTCCCGCTTAGGTTCAGCTAAATTCAGCTTCCTTGATTCCTCACCTGCTCACCAGATGGCGCTGGTGAGCTTATCCTCGAAATTCATACGCTTATTTTCAATAAGGCCCTTCCTTCGCCGCCTGAGGCTCCAAACTGGCGTAAATGTCATTTGCAAAACTCGGATAATTTGTTTAAATGACGAAAATCGCGGTTTACTTGTAAGCATGTGTTAAACATACCCTATATAATCTTCCAGCGCCCTCCCGCGAGCGGCGAGATGTGAACGAGACTTTAATGAGCCGCCGTTTTACGCCATGTCCGGTGTGTCCCTGCGCTCGCCGTGTGAGTCCCTCAATGTGGAACTACTTACTGGCGTTTACCCGAAAGAATAGGAGTGATTTGACGTCTAAGATTGTAGTGTTTACGAATTCAATATCTCTCCCATGAGAATTGTTGGCATCGTGATTATTTCAACTCGATAGTCAATTTTCTAAGCAATACGGAAGAGGGGGCTGTTTGTACAACATATGGCTGTCATTAGCTGCAGTTCGTGACGAAGTTCCATAGCAAATCAGTGTCATGAACCTCGCACACTTAACTTACCCGGTTAACAAGTTACGTTTTTAAACCACTTTAGAACATGCTTACTAAAAATTAAACCCGCGGGCATGCGAACGCACATTTGGAGGATGTTATTTGTTATATTGGACAATCATATGTGCTGTCACTTGCTCTGATAAAGGCATTGTATTCACGGTTTCCAATACTTGCCACATGGGAATACTTTGTTGGTTTTCGAATTCGAATCCATATTGAAACAGCGAAATAAATTTGATAAATTATTCATGATAGCAAAAGGGGGACGTCGTTGACTTTTCTCCCACAGAAATGTACGTTTGTTTGTTTATTTCTTCTTTAACCCCGCACTCAGCAATATTCCTCAGCATCAACCAAGTCAGCGAGCCCGACCACCCGATCCCGTTAGCCGCCTTTTACGACAAGCAGAGTAACCTTTTACGGCAAGCATGGGTTGCTGAAAACCTATTCTACCCCGGAATCTTCACGGGTTCAATAAATTTGATAAATTGTTCATGATAGCAAAAGGGGGACGTCGTTGACTTTTCTCCCACAGCATGTACGTTTGTTTGTTTATTTCTTTTTTAACCCTGCACTCAGCAATTTTCCAGCTATATGACGGAGGTCTGTAAAAAATAGAGTCTGGACCAGACAATCCAGTAATCATGAGCATCGATCCACGCAATTGGGATCGATGACATGCATCAACCAAGTAAGCGAGCCTGACCACCCGATCCCGTTAGTCGCCTCTTACGACAAGCAAAGTCGCCTTTTACGGCAAGCATGGGTTGCTGATGACCTATTCTACCCCGGATCTTCACGGGGCGAATGTACGTTATATCTTCTAATCAATTATTTGAACGTCTTGATCAAGTCGATTACGCTCTTCGTATATGGAATCAATCTGAGGCCGGGTTAGGTTTTACGGCCGCTTAGAACAGTACATGACACAACAGTGATGCGGGGACCATTAACACCTACCAATATTTTGTCCCGTATCCGTATTCGTATCAGCCAAAAAATATATATTCTGCAAAAAATACACGTGGAATCTACGCCTATCGATATCCGTATCGTATCTGTACATTTTTTATACGTGTCCCGGTTTTTTTTCCATTCAAGACCGACGAAGTGGAATCGAACTGGGCTCGGAAGACGGGTCTATCTCCTATCTTGTATTGTCTGGCCCAGACTCGATTATTTACAGACCGCCGTCATATAGCTGGAATATTGATATTGGTTTTTTGGTTGTTTTACGCCGCACTCAGCAATATTCCAGGTATATGACGGCGGTCTGTAAATAATCGAGTCTGGACCAGACAATCCAGTGATTGACAGCATGAGCATCGAT